GATGAAATTACTGTGACATTTGTAAGAAACCAAGAGCAACTAGTAAGAAACTCCAGAGTCCAGACAAGGGATTAGGCTGGTGCCTTGAGGGTACTCTACATGGAGGCACTGCGGTATGTCTGCAGTGGGTGAAACCCTGGGATAAGTGGGAGAGGAGAGTGCTCCTATTAATAGCCAAAATTCAGCACATTTGCACATGTTTACTGTTGAACACTGTGCCTTCCTGAATGAGGATGAAGTGAGGTAGATGTTGAAAAGCAAGCGTGGGCTTGCAAGTTTTGCTGGCTTGAGCCTTATCCCTTTTCTCACATCACTCTTCAGTTTGCAAGAAGGGAACAATGTGGATCCAGTTTTACTCTGACTCCAGTAAAAACTTCCCTTTCCCCTGATACAACCCAAATCAAGAGCAAACTAGCCTCAGGCTACAGCTCACAGGGAAGGACAACTCATCTACAAAGGGTGCTGCTTCATTAGCAGATCTGCACTCAGCAGCTCTCCTCGCCCAGACTCCTCACACGAGGGAGACACTCTCATCAGTTAAGAGGAGCCACAGCCAAGTGTTTAAATAAATTGGTATCAGCTTGTTGCTGCATTTCTGACAAACCCAGCCCTGTATGCCATTCATTGTGCAGAGACTTCCCAGTAAATGTAGCTTCCTCCACTCTTTGTAAAGTAATTATTCAAGAATTTTGACTGCTGGAGGTGAATCTTGATCAAAGCTTTGAATTAAAAGTCTTACTGTCAGTGGTGTCCGAGTTATCACTGCTGATGGAGTACTTGCGTCGTTTTTCTTCCATCTGTAATAAAAGAAATTGAACATTACACTTCATGTCCAGAAAACTCATCCCAGCACCAAAGCACTGCTATATGAATATCCACACATCTTCTTATCCCAGTACCAGTCAGTCCTTACCCTCAGGACAGACAACTACCCAGAGGCTGAAAAAAAAAAAAATGCAACAAAACAATTCTCACGGATTTTTTTAAAAAACTTTAATTGTCTTTCTATCAGCTTTTCCCGATCCCAGTAGTTACAGTGGGTGCATTTGGATCACGCAGCTTTGCATGGAAATTTGTCTGTGCAAGATTTGCATCCAAATGTCTCTTCCTCTGCAAGAGCACTGTCAAGTGAAGAAGCTCCAACACAGACTGGAGGATGCCCTGGTGCTGTTGGCTGGGAGAAAAGGGACCGTGGTGCTGTTGGATGGGAGAAAAATGTCCTGGGAACCACCTGTCTCAGCTGCAAAGTGAAGAAATGTGAAGACAGAAGAATAGAAACTGCACACTCTCGGTATGTCTGCAGGGGGAAGTACGAGCATCCCAGAGCTGAAGAGAACTCCTGTGTACCACAAGCCTGGGGTTTTACCCTCTGACTCATCTTCCCATTCATATCTGCTGCTTTTAAGGCTTCGGGAGCATCTGTCACAGGAAGCACCTCCCATCACTGCACACTGCCCTGCCCGAGCTCCCCCTGGCACCAGAGCTCCCAGGGGTGGGCGAGTGGCTTCTGCACAGCTGCCGTGACTTCTCCATCCTCCCAGAGCCAAAATCACAGCAGCGGGTACCACTGCACTGATGAGGAGACCCGGTTCATGCTCAGCTGATTTGCTTTGAGACTTTGAACAAGCCACAGGAGTGCTTGGAATCATCAGGTTCTCCTGAACTCGCCCCTTGGGAACCAAGCACTTGGAACTCAAAGTAGGTGCTTCAGGAAAAGAAAGAAGAAAGGTATTTTAACTTTTGAAAATCCAAATTTTACCAATGTGGCTGGCTGATCAACATGGCCCCCAATACAGGGCTTGGGCAGCTCTGCATGGAAAGGGCTGCCTGTGGACCAGACAGCTATCCAACAGTCTGTAAGCCAAAACACATCCACAGAAAACAGTCTTAACCTCACTGAAATCTTCCCAGTACTTTCCTCAGATATTTTCAAAGAATCTGAATGTGTTCATATGTCATACTCACTATTGCTTCCACAAATGGTAAGTGGGAATGATAATGAAACACTTGGTTTGTGTGGTTTGGTTGCAGCAGGTACAAGCAGCACACAGACTGGGATAGCAAACTAGAGCATGACATTTCCCCCCAGACATCAGGAAATGTTCCACATAATCATACAAAAACCTTGTAACAGCTGTGTTTTACAATATATGTGCTATCAGCATTATAAAGGAAAATACTACAAAATATCCTAAACATTTTAACTATCAGTATTGTGGTAAGTCATTGCCCTGTCAAAATGTGACTTAAAACACTCCCTAAGAATATGGCAATATCAATACTTTTCCCCTGGTGATTCAAGGGGAAACAGATGTTATTAAAACTGCCTTGTTCCAAATAGCCTTTAGATTTTGCTTGGGGGAAATGAAATTGAAGATAGCTCTAACTGCAGCTTACTTACTTTTAGTGAAAATCCTACCTCAACCTTTTAAACTGGTTCCTACTAGTCTGAAGTGACAAATAGACATTTGGACCACAAAGACAGAGCAATACTTTTATTGATTCTGGAGCTCCTAATCGCAGAGATTAAATAAGCCAAAGCCAAGAGGAAGGCAAAAAACCACCTGAGGTGAAGCAAAGGAATGCTACTGATAGCCAGGGAGATTTCCCAGGTTTCCCATCTTTGCTTTTACAGCAAGGCAGCATCACTGACATCACTTTCCTTCCAAGGCAGGGAAAAAGGTTTGCAGTCAATGCTCAGCACAGGTAGCAGGAGGCTGGCACTGGTTTTGGCTGATATGTATGAGGAGATGCACTGATCATCCCTCTCACTGAACTTGGTCCCTGCATCCTGCTTCTGTCCTACAGCTGCCTACCAAATTAACACACTCACTATGTAACAAGATGGATTGATATTCACATACAGAAGTGGTTCACATTGCAGGTAAAAATAGCGTCTGTACTTCAGTAAATCATTTGGCCACTGTTTGGCAGGATGCAAGACAGCATCCTCCAAACCAAACTGCATTAAATTTGTGAATGGAATTCTGGCTTGAGCAAAGCACGGACATCTCTGAACAGCAGCACTGAAAGGCTGGGCAGGGGATGACACACAAAGAACTGTGTGCCTGAACGAAGCAAAAGTTTTGGCCAAAACCAGGTCATTCCAGAAAATTGTTACTTTCCAAGCCCTGCTAAGATCCTGTTTTCTGAGGGACTCATCTTGAGCAGCCGAACAGTAGTAAACCACATGGCACTAAAGAGAGGAATTTACTGTAGAAGGGTAATTGGGCCATTTCCCCATCTGTATCCCAGAGTTATAAAGTCTGATGGTGGCTGAGCTCCTACCACCCTTTTGGCACCCGCGGGGAGGTGGCTGGGGGGGTGGGGAGGACTCACTGCCCACATCCCTCCCAGGGCTGGAGCTCCAGCTCCCAAAAGCTCTCAGGAGCAATTCAGCTGCTGAACTACTGAGCAAATTAAGTCCCCACAAAATATCGTCTCTGCTCCAAAATTAATCTTTTGTTTACATTAGAACTTAATTTCACCTTTAACTGACCCATTCCCCACATGGCATCATTAATAAAGTCATAAACAAATACCAAAAAAATTTGTAATACTTTGAAAAGGTCACTGTTAGGTCAAACTTGGCCCAAAATCTAGTTTTTACAGAGCCAGAAACCAAGTGAAAGGTTTCTGTGTAGGCTTGCTTAAAAAATTCAAACAGAAACAGATGTGGGTTTCTTTTATAAACAAATGAACATCCCCCTGAAGTGTCTGCAACTCAAATCCACAGGCATAGCCCTGGCTAATGCCTGGAAACCAAAAACTGAACTGCTTGCAAACCAACACATGTTTAGCATTGCCTTTGTTCAAAGCTGAGGAAGGCAGATAGAAGATGATGGCCCTTCATCAGCCTAAACAAATGTAAATCTATGTCCTTGGACAAATTAGCACCACCATTGGTGTTAAAATGGAGATGATGGCCTGAGGCTGGCTGGTCCTGCCTCACAGCAGGGGAAGGTTGGAGAGGATCTCTTGGGAATGCAATTTTGCCCAGTCCATGCAACCTGGGAGAGGTGAAGGCAACTACTGCTGGCACACAGAGATGCCTGTGCCCAGATCCTGAGCTCAACAGGGCACACTGCCAGGGACAGGCACCCGCTCCTATCCACACTAAACCGAAATGTCTCATCCAGCCTTCAGCTAGCACAGAAATCTTTCTCTGCAGACCCCTCCTCCGCCAGCCCTGTGCTCTGGAGAACCCCCTGATGTTTCCCAGCTCCCTGCAAACTCTTCTGCACATCAACTCCACGTGCGATATGGAGATTTTTAGTGGCATCCCAGCACCCTGTGCAGAGGCTGTTTCCACTGCTTCCAAGAACGAACCATTCTGAACTGTGGCAAGCAAACAGAGAAATTCATACATGCCTGTGCTCCTCATTTCCACAGGGAACAGGCATCAGAAACCTGCATAAGTTGCAGCAAAAAAAAAAAAAAAAAAAAAAAGATAAGTATTTGGTCATCACCTCTTCCCAGCCTCCCCGCAGGTTGAGGGATGCGCCGCGCTCGGTCCCCGCGCCGTCACCTCTGACGCTGTGAGCAACACCGGCTGAATGATGTGCTCTGTTTGTGAGCTGCAATGAGACTGCAGAAAAACCACTTCCCTGTTTGTTCTTCCAGCCCAGAAATAGGAACACAAACAGAACATAGTGCCCCCAGCGGCACGCACACGGCTCCGGCCACCGACCCCGCCGGGGACCCCGTCCCGGAGCCGCTCCCGCACCTGCGCCCGCCGCCGCCACCGAGCCGGGGGCTGCTCCCGGCGCTCCCCTCGGCCTCCAGCTGCTCTTCCCTCTGTCTAGGAACACCAGCCACTTGTTAGAAAGTGTAATAAAAAGGGTGGAGGGCTGAACATCCCCGTCAGTACACCGTGGGAGGGCTGTCCTCGTCCTATTTCCTTTTCCCAAGAACAAATTTTGGAGCCAAGTGCTGCTACAGGAGGCTCTGAGAGAGCGGCAGCATCCCCCAAATTGGCACAGCCCCAGTTTCATAGTAACAGGACAAACTTTTGGACCAAAGGATGCACAGCAGCTGGGCCAACAAGACCCACAGCAAATCGTGGTGCTCAGCCCCTACATCTGGGAGAAGCTTTTCCTGACCTCGCTGGTAACCCTGCAAAGCGTAAATGCAAAAGAGGAGGATCCTGGTACCTAGAACAACCATTTTTTGGGCAGCAGGAGCCTGCCCCTGCCTGCCGGGGCTCGTCTGTCCCTCGCCTCCTCTACAGGCTGCTGCCAGCCCCAGCTTTCCAGCAAAAGCTCAGGTGCCCAGGTAAGGAGCAAGCCATCCCTCCTCTCCTCCATACCAACGCTGCTGTCTTGGCTCCCCGGGGCAAAATTTCATCTCATTACAATTTAAAACAAAACAAGCCCTCTCTTACTTCCTGTGCTTTGCCTTTCTCCACACCTACAAGGGGCTTTTTTTTTTCTTGACTACTCACATTTATAACTTTACTTGTCTCTTCTAACTCGTTACCTTATAATTATCTACTTTTTCTTTAGCGAGCCCAGACAGAGCACAGGTAATCAGAAAGGTTACTGAGGGCACTGGGGCCACCCCTGCCTTCCTGGGGGAAGGTGCAGGCAGGGACAACAGGGCATGAGAAGGGACACCAGGCACAGCTCCACGCCCACAGCCGGCTGCCCCATCCTGCAGGTCTCTTGAGTATCAAAAACTCAGAGGAAATCAACAGGAGCTACTGACACTTCAATCTTTGTGAAAGATGAAAACCCACAGAAAGGTAAAAACTAGACCTGGTCTGAAGGACCACCCACCCACCAACTTTCAGAACTTGGGTGTCAAACACTATCGGCAGCCATTAATACTTTAAAGGAATTGCATCTCCTTGCCTACAGACCCCCTAACATGTACCCTTTATCCTTTGCTCCAAGCCTACATTTTTGAACATCTGCTCAATTTTCTTAAGAAAAACAAATTTAACCTTCGATTTAACCTTTCTGCAAGCTATTTTTACTCCTATCTCAAGCTTATTTTAACCCCAGTAGCCAATAAATGCTTAAAGGTCAAACACCATTCCTAAAAGCTGGGCTCCTTACCCCCGAGGAGAAGGCTGAGATCAGATAATTGGGGTTTTTTTTCCCCAAGCAAAACCTCCTCTTGGAACTGTCCAAGCGGTCGGTCGGAGGATCCTGGCTTCAGCCCTTCAAAACAATTTTCACTGTGGGGGCTGAGAAAGGCACTGAAAATTCTCCCTGTAAATGCCATGCCATCCTTCTCTTCCCACTCGAAAAGCGCTCGAAATGCATAGGTATGGAGAGAGAGAATTTTATTTTCCCCTAACCGCGATCGAGGCTGACAATCCAGCAGCCTCCCGCCTTTACAGCGCTTCCCAACTTGCAGCTCGCTGCTCCCACCCCGGGCGCGGGGCAGCCGGGGGGCGCTCCCAGCGCCGCATCCCGAGCGGGGAGCGGCTCGGCAGGTGGGGAAGGGGCAGGAGCGCGGCGGGGGCGCCGCCGGTTTCCCCGAAGGATGCAGGGGAGAGCCTGGGGAGGGGGCAGGTGGCCGGGGAGAGAAGGAGGGGCGGCCCGGGGGGACAGCGGCGCGGGGGGACGCGGGATGTTTCCGAGCGCGGGTGATGCCGCGGGGGGAGCGGCGGTGCCTCCGGGCTCGGCAGCCCCGGGACGCGGCGGCGGGGGAAGGCGGCGGGGAAAGCCCCGCGGTGGGGAGGGAAGGGGGGAGGAAGGGGAGGGCAGGCGGGAGCCGGCAGCCGCCACGCCCCCGGGCACCGCCATCCCGGCCCCGCGCAGCGCTCCGCGCCCGCGGCCCCTCCGCCGCCGAGCGCTGCCCGGCCCCGCGCCGCCGCCCGCCGAGCCCCCGCCGCCCGCCCGAGCGCCGCGGGGCGTCCCCTCCGCTCCCGGCGGGCAGGGCAGGGCGCGGGGCCGCTGCCGCAGTCATTAATTCGGGGAATAAAGGGGCGAAGCGGCGAACCGAGCCTCGAAAAGTTCTTGTTTACGTCCCCGCCGCCTCCCTCCCGCACTTCCAAAGCAGAGTGACCACCGTGCGCCATCCGCCCCGGGAATGCTGCACATCCCCCGCCCGGCAGCCGGGGGAGGGAGGGGAAAAAAAATAAATAAAAAAAGACGTATGTACAGCAAAAGCAGGGGGAGCTGCAAAATAACCATCCGCTGCAAACCCAGCCCGCTCCCGCCGCCACCCCGCCGAGCCTTTACCTTGGCCAGGAGTGTCCGCTCGGAGTTGCGCCGGTCTCTGGGGTGACAGGCGGGAGGAGGCGGGGGCGGGGGATGCTCCCGCAGTCCCCGGCCGGGAGAGCCCCCTCGGCGGCTCAATCCGGTGTCATTGCCAGGGCCGCGCCGCCCGGGCCCTCCTTAGGAGAGCCCGCCCGGTAACTCCATGGATGCGGTCCCGCTCCCAGCCGAGATGGCCGCTCCGCCGCGGCCGGGCGAGCCCTGCCCGCCTGTTTCTCTTTCTTTTTCACCCCGCACTTCCTCCGGCGCTCCGCGCCCCGCCGCCGCCCGGGCTCCGGCTCCGGCAGGGAGGCGGGGAAGCGACTTTCGGAGCGGGGACGGATAATGGTGGCGGTGCTTCCACCCCCCCCACCCCCCACCCCCCCCCCACCCCGCCTCGGCCGCCCCAAATTCTTCAATTTCTTCGCCTTTTCCCCTCGGCGGGCGCCGCGGCAGGGCCAGGTGCGGGCAGCGCGGGTCCCATCGCGGGCCGCGCCGCCGCCGCCGCCGCCCGCCCCGCGTCACCCCCCCGCCGGCCGCCGGGGCCCCATGGCGCTGCCCGGAGCCCCAGCGCCGCTGCCCGCAGCCCCGGCGCCCCGCAGCCCGGCCCTGCACACGCACTCACACTCGCTCACACTCACGCTCTCCGCCCCCCCCACCCCGTCCGCTCCCCCTCTCCGCGCCGTGCACACGCGTACACGGGGCGGCTTCGCCGAGCTTAAAAAAATAAATAAATAAAAAAAAAAATAAGCTTATACTTAAGGAAAAAAAAAAAAAAAAAAAAAAAAGGGTTTTGGCGCCATATTAATGACGTACTTAAAATTTGCCATTTCTCCTGCGTCAAAAAGACGGCTCTTGCCCATCGCGGGGCGGGCGGGGGCCGCGGTGCGGAGCTGCTCCCTCCCCCCCGCACCCGCGCAGCGAAGTTCCGCGGCCGCGGGGCGTGGGAACCGCGGGGGGGCGGGGGGGGACGCGGAGCCTCCGCGCCGGCACCGCGGCCGGTCCGGAGGGGCGAGGAACGGCGGGGCTGGGGATGCGACCGCAACAGGAGAGCCCACCCGACCCGTGCGTGTGTCTGTATGTGTGTGTTCTCCCAAAAAAACTTCCCAGAGTTTCCGCGGAGAGGTGCGGAGAGATGCGGAGCGGCGCGGCTGCCGCGCAACTCCGCACGGAGTGACCCTCCCCAAACGAGTGTTTCGGGCTCTGGGTGGTTCAGGGCTGCCTGTTGCCAGCTGTTTTCCTTAGGATTAAAAACAATGACAGCAGTGCTTTCGGGATAGAAACCGCTTCTTAAATTAAAATCATAATAATAATAATTGGATGTACAGCATATATCTACCCCAACTCCCAGGGGCCCTACAGAAGTTGGTTTGCACTGTTTAAATCCATTGCTGCAGAAGATTAAAATTCAAGTTAAAGACTGTCTTTCAATGACAATCTGCCATCATCCCTTTCGATTCATTAAGCTGGTCAGCGAATTAACCTGCGAATTACCAATTATAAACCATTAGGAACCAGAGCTACAATAGCCAGATGCTCCCCAACTTACATCCCTGTTGTGGCTTCTTATAAATTACCAAACTTGAACGAATTCGACTGTAACTTTCTGCCTTGGCAGCCTGGGCTGGATATTTTCCAAACGTTCCAAGTCCTTTCCCACTTCCAAGGATGACAGCAGAGTAGGATAAGAGCATCGCTTTGGTAATTCTTGAGCTTTCTGTGGTTCTTAGGACTAACACTGAAAAAAGGGTCTTGAAATTTGGCACGAAGCAGCCTTTTATGGTCCTTTAGATAAATCCACCCAAATTAGTCATGTTACTGGGTTTTGAAGAGCAGTTCACTACGTAGCAGTAAACATGACCAGTTCTGGCAGCTGAAATATCTCAAAATGCTGCTCTTAGGGCACCTGCTGCTTCAGGTGCTCAGAGCCCTCTCAGCAGCCCCCCAGGGAACAGGAACATCAGCTACTGACTAAAAAGTGTTTCCTTGGATTACAAGAGCAATGGGATTCATGATCACAGCCCCTGTCGTTAAGATCCTGGCAGGACTTCACCTACAGATCCCACCTCATCTACAGCACAGTCTGCCTTAAGGGATATTGTGAAGGTGACTGTGTTACCTGGTCTGGACATGAAAAATGTCCAAAGTGAGGCATTCCGTACCAATTTCTGGAGATTTTCTTGTGCGTGCTTACTCTAATGCAGCTCTTAGTTACAGTGCCACAATCTGATTTCTCTGTGCCACCTGCACAGCACGGATCTGCTCTGTAAGTCAAAAAAGGAAACAAATTTTGGCCAGGTTCTCGTCTTACCTGCATAACCAAAGACTGCCCAAGGAGCGATGCAAGGGCTGCAAGACACAGGCAGACTGTGACAGAAGGATAAAACTCTCCAAAGACTCAGATTCTTTCCGTGCCCTTGCCACAGGCTATGTTACACTACAAGTCATTAACCCAAACTTTTGGCTGCTGATGGCTGTATTGCCCGCACTGTGGTGCGTGGCTGGAAGCCTTTAGCCTGAATTGCTGACATCCATCTTTGTGCAGCTGGAAGCAGTGGGTGCTGTGCTTGCACGTATGAAGTGCTGTATCATGTTAAATGCTCCGAAAACGCAGACGTTATGCTTTTCAGATGGAGTACCCTGAATTAGTCAAAACTGACCTTAATCCATCCATGTGTCACTCTGACCCATCTTCAGAATGAGTGTTTGGGGAGGATTAATGAAGGTGCTGAAGCACTGAGGCAGTATAGTGGAAAGTGCTGTTGAAAAAGCCGTGAGGAAATTAATAATTCTGTCTTTTGAGGAACCTGCAGGTCCCTGCTCTGGTCCTGCACAGCATGCTACAGCCTTACCACCCTCTGGGCCATTTCTCCAGGATTTCTGGAGTACACCTCTAATGAAGGTCACGGCACGGCAGATCCACAGCATGCCTGGTTACAACCTCACTACATTTTCACCATCCAGAACATGAGCACCTTGCTCTGCTTTGAAAACTGCACGGGGACATATTGGAGCTGGATTTTCTATTGCTGTGAAATCCATAAGTGGTCAGACATGTGAATAATG